ATTTCTCCGGCCATCTATTTCCCACCAAAATACCTCCAAAACCCATCAAGCGATATATCACTCTGTGTTCTTTCCAACCCATATAATTCAATGCAACCTCTCCTTCCTTTCCACCCAAAGCACTGACTGTTGCCACCACATACCTGCACCTGGCTGATGGTGCTTGAAACTGCTATTTATATCATTTAGTTTTTGTTCTTTCTTCCTAGCTCCCAGATGCATGTCCTGGCTTGGCCTGTCTTTAGATAGTTGAGTCTTGGGCCCTTTTTCAAAAAACAAGGCAGAAAAGGAAGATCTGGTACAGATAGTCTAACTCAACATTCCTCCCCCAGTCTAACCACATGAGGCTGTGGTACAATGCAGCCTCTAACTGGTGTTCAGCGAACGGGTTGCTGCTTCGGGGCACACAGGCTCCTTTCCCTCTGTATGTGTTCCAAGTGAGCGTGCCAGAGCAATGGCAAATTAGGCTCTGTAGTTCCTTGGGAAATAAAATTAAGGATAAAAGTATACACTGAACTGTCTTATTTTATGGCAATTTTTAAAATATGAACAACTGGTTTTGCATGGGCAACAAGCAACTAGGGCTGACTTCACTTTAAAAACCAATACGGCCACGCTTGTACAAACTGGCTAGAAATCATTTCTAATTACTACTGTCTCATTAATAAATCCAAAGGGCCATATCACCACTTTACATGATCATGGGCTTTAAGTGCCAAATCATCTCTGCTGGATAGAAAAGTAAATGCACTTTGGGAACCTGTGACATGTAGAGGAGGGGCAGAAAGGGAATTTACGAGATGAGTTATAAGTGAAATCTCAGTTCCTTCTACTTTTTAAAGAGGATGAGTCAAGCTCTAAATAGTAAAGTCCTTTGAAGGACCACAGTGATTTTACCACCATTTCAAAAGCCACAAAGAGGAACAGAATGGAGAATAGACAGACTAGAGGGACAGAGGACAAAATGGACAGATTATGCAATAGAATGCCATGTCCAAGTTGAATGGATCTGCTTGGTCTCCTATGAGTAGGCTCGTGATCAAATCAGTTGATTTGATATTCTTTTTTTCTCTCTCTTCCTACCTCTTTTCCTCTTTTTGCTCTTTCCTTCCTTTCTTTCTTTACTGAGGTTCTCATTGAAAATGAAGACTGATAGATCAAAATTAGACTTATGAATGTAAGTAACAAAGAGAGATTGTACTAATGGAAGAAAAGAAATCGCATAAACAGGACAGGAAATGAAGTGAGAAGTCAGATGGGTTGCTTCCTAAAGCCCAGATCCACCTGCGGAAATAAAAATGAGGAAAAATCACAGGAACCTAGGGGTCTTGAGACTACATATTGAAAAGTGGAGATACGGGTTAGTGATGAAGGGATTGACTGGAACTGAGCTTGGAGCCAAGAAAAGGGGCAGTCCAGGCTGAAATGGAGAAAAAAAACACTAGGAACACACAGAAAAATCTGACCTGATATGACCTAGGAGAACCCGAAGTTTGAAACTGCATTTTGAACCTAAGGAGACTCCAAAGTATGAGGCAGAGGCATGAACCTAGCTTCCATGTGTCCAGAGCAGAAACTGCGCACCACTCTCAGGAGTATCGGCTTGGGTGCTGCAGCAAGAGGACTATCATTACAGCACAGGGCAAGATTGCCTCCAAGGGCTATTCCCACGCTCCCACTCCTAACCTAGCTCAAGTCCTCCCAGATCTGAAAGGCACCGTAGGGCCATTTAGGTGAATCACTCTTATTTACAAATGAGGTCCCTGGGACTCCTAGGGTTTCAGAAACATTCTCAAAGTGCATAGCTAGTTATTTGCAGATGTAGCTCTTGAACACTCGTAAGCCACAAGTAAGGAAGTTGCACTCTTTCATCTTTCAACATGAAAATAATCCCCAATTTTCTTATGCTTTCTCAGTTTCCCCCTTTTCCAACTCTAACCAAATAGTTTTAATCCCCTGTTGTTTTAAGTCTTTAATTACATTTTGTACAAAATAGATGCCCCCAACCTTTGAAAAGAAAGAGCTCTGGGTGTTCCCCAACATGCCTTAGTCACAATCATTTATATTTAAAGTCTTTTATATTGGTTCAAGGTGATATTTTGAAAATATAAAATTGCTTAGATGAAAGTAAAAGTTTTCTTAATAAGAAAGATGATGATGGTGATGATGTCTTTGTAAATAGGTGCTTTCCGCTTTTTAAATAGCCTCTTGATGAGTCTTGGATTCCCAAAGCACCCAAGAGTCTTTAGTTTGGGTAAGTACTTTTCTGGAACCCTAAACTGGGACAGATCATAGTCTTACAAGACAGACAGTACCGATGATGACCATCATTGGTCTATGCTTAATTTAGTCAGTAAAATGGGAACGGGTCTGTCACAGTGGGGTCGAAAGATGACCACTTCCTGGCCAGAGAGATCAACACATAGAAACTAATCAGGAAGCTCTATAGCATTGGCTGGAGCTCTTCAGTGTCTTACAATCTTGTTTCTGTTCTCGTGTCACTTTGACCTTACCAGGCACCAGTTTTTGCCAAAGGAGCCACCAACCATTTTGCATACTTCCTCAAAAAAAAAAAAAAACCTCGTTTTTATTTTGCCTCAGAACAATTTATTATTGAATTGTTATTGAATTCGTTATCAAAAACAAAACAGCATGAGTTTGCTGCTATACCGTAGAAGAAAATAGATTCCTGCCAATTAGTTTTGGGGTGGCCCTTTGCTATAGGAAGCCATTTTAGCTATTTTGGTCTAAAGGAAAAAAAAGTTTTCTTTCAGCAATACTTGAATGGAAAGAAGGAAAAGAAGAAGAAAAAGAAAAGAAAAAAGAAAAGAAAAGAAAA